GCATGAACACATTATCCCTGGTAGCCACCGGGCTAGATCTCAGGCGCCGGCCTTGGACTTCCTTATTTAGGCTCCAGTTTAGTGGTTAAAGTGGTTTAGAGCTGCGGTGGCTCAAGTGGTTAAGATGCTGAACTGCAGGCTGTGGAAGGTCAGTAGTTCAGCGGTTCAAGACCCGAGTTGCCGCATGACGGAGTGAGCTCCCGTCTCTAGTTCCAGCTCCTGCCAACCTAGCAGTTTGAAAGCAAGAAATTGCAAGTAGATAAATAGGGACCACTTCGGTGGGAAGGTAACAGCGTTCCGTGCACCTTGGTGTTTAGTCAGGCCAGCCACATGACCACAGAAACGTCTTCGGACAGCGCTGGCTCTTCGGCTTTGAAACGGGGATGAGCACCGCAACCCTACAGTCGGATTCGACTGGCTTTCGAGCAAGGGAACCTTTACCTTTAGTAATAAAGGCTTCAGGGGTGGCCACATGGCTTTCAGGCAGTCTCGTACTTAACAGCCAGTGGGGTATAGCTGTTGGAATGTCAGATTGGAATCCAAGAGACCCAGAGATGAATCTCTACTCTGCCATCGAAACCTGCTGGGTGATCTTGGGCCAGTCATACAGTCTCAGCCTAACCTACCTTTCCCCACCCTTCTGCTGGTTGTTTCTATTTTATTTTTTTTGTATTGTAAGATGCTTTGGGTCCCCACTGGGAAGAAAAGGGGGAATATAAATGAAGATGACGACGACGATTATACAGCAGCACTTCGACTCTAGACATAAAGTGCTAAATAATTGTGCTCCATCAGTTCACTCTTCCATTCATATTTATTTTCTTCACCTACTAAGTTAGAAGTCAAACCCACTGCGTTTTGAAAACAGGCAAGGGGCACAGACAGAGGCCAAACTGGAATACTCATTCACCTCTGTAATGTATCCAGTCTAGACAAGTCCAGACAAGTCCAGAGACAAACGCAGAGCTTCGCTCCAAGAGACAATGGACTATGCGGATCCTAGCCCGCTCCAATCAGGGGGCTAGGTTCCCGGCCGAGAGCCTATGGGACTCCCGGCCACTGTAAATAACCTATAGGGAAGTAGGGGTGTGTTTGGGTGGCGGTTTCTCGGGGGATATAAGCAGGCCTGCGAGCCGGCCAAAGTCATCTTGTTCCTGATCGAATAAAGTACGCTTTGCTGAAATCACTCTCCGTCTGCGTACTTTTCAACCTCCGCATTGAATTATTTCATAATTTGTCAGGTGTGTTTAATCAAAAACTCAAAGAGAAATGCATTAAAATGATAAACAGATGACAGCACAAGGAAAACACTGCCCTTGGACCCAGGCTTGCTCCTTGAGAAATGCTTGGACTTAAAAAAGAAGAAGAAGAAGAGCATAACCCCCCCCCACACACACACACTCTTGGTGAAGATCAAAGAGGCAATGTTTTCACAAAATGAATGGTTCAGGCAGTTGTAGGGAA